CCCACTCCTCTTTCTCCCCCACCCCCCCACAAAATCTAAAAAAAAACCCCCCCACAAAACTCTTGGGGGGTGTTCTTTTTTTTTGCCCCCCTTCCCCCCCCCCCCCCCCCCCCCCCCACATCATGTCCCCCTTTTCTTCCCTTATTGATCATATTATACTGCAGTGCTCCATTAACGCCCACGGCACACCCCTCACCGACGCCGCCCTCGACGCTGCCAAATCCGCCGACGCCGTCCTCCTCGGCGCCATCGGTGGCCCCGAATGGGGCACGGGCGACGTGCGTCCCGAGCAGGGTCTCCTACGCCTGCGCAAGGAGATGCAGGCCTACGGCAACCTGCGGCCGTGCTTCTTCCCTGCCGATGCCTTGGTCGACTACTCGCCGCTGAAGGCTGATGTGTGCCGCGGCACCGACTTTACCGTCGTGCGGGAATTGACGGGTGGGATTTATTTCGGTGAACGGAAGGAGGACACTGGCGACGGCTTCGCGCAGGACACAGAGCCCTACTCGCGGCCCGAGGTGGAGCGCATCGCGCGCCTGGCCGCGCACCTGGCCCTCGCCCGGAATCCTCCCGTCCCCGTCTGGTCCCTCGACAAGGCCAACGTGCTCGCCACGAGCCGGCTCTGGCGCAAGGTCATCTCCGAGGTCTTCGCCAACGAGTTCCCCCAGCTCGAGCTCCACCACCAGCTCATCGACAGCGCCGCCATGATCATGGTCAAGAACCCGCGCGGCCTCAACGGCATCGTCGTCACGAGCAACTTGTTCGGCGACATCATCAGCGACGAGGCCAGCGTCATCCCCGGGAGCATCGGCCTGAGCCCCAGCGCCAGCCTGAGCGGTATCCCCGACGGAAAGACCAGGTGTAATGGTATCTACGAGCCTATCCACGGTATGTTTCTCTCTCACGTCCTAGTAACCCCTTCTCCCATAAGCACGACAGGAGGAAACGTATGGACGATGTGCTGATCAAATGCGTATCCCGCAGGCTCTGCCCCCGACATCTCCGGCAAGGGCATCGTCAACCCCATCGGCACTATCCTTTCCATCGCCATGATGTGCCGGTACTCGCTGCAGCTGCCCAAGGAGGCCGATGCCATCGAGGCTGCCGTGCGCAACGTGCTCGATGGCGGCCTCCGCACCAAGGACCTCGGCGGCGAGAGCGGCACCCAGGCTGTTGGTGACGCCGTCGTTGCAGAGCTAGTCAAGCTACTGAAGAACTAAGCGCGAGGTAACGGTAAAAAGGAAAAAGAGTTAAAAAAAGAAAATAGTGAAAGAAATAGAAAATGTATCTAAATAACGAGGAATGAAAAGCGGGGGGATATCTAGGATTCGAGGTTCGAGATTCAAAATATATAAAAAGAATATGAAATGCACCAAAGCCAAGATATCAACCCATGGCAAGGTGGACAGGTTGGACCTAAACACAATGAGCCCGATGTGCTGGTGGCTGAATACTGAATACATCGTGGGAAGGCATTAGCATTATCAATGACTTGATCTTGACCGGATTAGGTACCTGACTAACTACCAGGGTGGGTAGTATAGTAAAGGAAGGGGAAATATAGAGTCCAATAAACTGTTACATTGGTGCGAAAGGACGGATGTTGATCGATTAAGGATACAGCTTTATGTGCTTTGATTTGTTTAGCAGAGGGGATGTCCATAGGTAGGCATCTTAGTAGGTAGGTAAGTAAACAACCCGCACCCCTACGAGCAACGGCAATATACCTACTCAGCTACAAGCCAGTAGTCTGTCTTCTCATTGTTTCCCTTCTATATATCTTGGTAATTATGGGGGGGATATACATACTACGAATTGACTAATCTCTCTCTCGCTATTTTTCTTCCTGACTAGACAGAATACACCCAGAGAATTAGACGGATCCGGAACTCCTCTCAGATGAGAACATGCAATACCTGGGAAATCTCTCTTTTTTTTCTCGTCCTAACGCCAAACTTATTGAAATCAACCCCATAGAGAATCCTGACCGTGTGATTTAACTTAGCGGGAAATGGAAAAAAAAACAATATCCATCGTAAAACCTCCCTCTCCAGCGCCCCCTACATAATTAACCCCCTCAAAAAACCCCAACGAATCGAGAGTATCCTATCCCTGGTTTTCTTTCTCTTTCCCCTCTTCACTGCCGCGCCTCGCCCCCCGTAGCCCCCACCGTGCGCTCGACATCGTCCCGTAGCTCGGGCATGGCCTTGCCCATCTCGGCGGCGAGCACGTCGCGGAAGGCGGCGAACGCGGCCTGCTTGCCGCGCATGAGCTGGTTGCCGCGCCGCACCAGCTCCACGAACTCGCGCGTGTAGATGTCCGGGTTGCGCCCGTTGTCCACGTACTGGATCAGCTCGGGCGGGATGCGCGGCAGCTCCGCGGTGGTGGCCGACGTCGCGTGCACCCGCTGCAGGTACCCCGACAGCAGCCCCAGCTCCGACGCCACTACGTCGCGCGACGTCGTCCGCGGCGACGAGAGCGGCGTGCCTACCGGCGTCGAGGCGCTGTCGTACGACGACACTTGCACCATGATGTTGTGCAGCGATTGGATCGTGTCTTTGAGTTGCTCTGCGCGCGAGGTTAGTGCCGGGGTTGGGGCTGGGGGGAGGGGAGCACGTACGCTCGAGAGCGGTTTGCTCGGCGCGTTGGATTGGCGCCATTTTGGGGTCGCGGTTGGGGGCTGAGCGATGCTAGAGGAGAGGGTTCGGGGGGGAGAACTCGGTGGGACGATGATGATGGAAGTACCGGGCAGGCGGGTGCAGGTCAAACGCCTGGATAAAAGGAATCGGTTCGGAAGGAAGTTGTCGAGAATATGGTATTATAGAGCGGGTCTATGGAACAGGGTGTAGGGGCGTGTAATTGTGTGTGTTGAGTATTCGTTGGTGTTGTGCGAAATGAAGATGAAGGTTGGATGATGAATGGGGAAGAGAGAAGTCGGTGTTGGTGTTGGAGCAAAGAGACGGTCTTAGGCTAGAAACAAGGCCGGTGAGATAAGGTAAGGATAGCCCCACTATTAGATGGTTGTAGCTGGGTACCTAGCGCATGCTGTCCAGTGAACCATCTACCTAGGTAGTAAACGCATTACAGTGACTGCAGAAAGAACAGAACATACAACCAATCAGAGATGGTTAATTTTTCCCCGGATTTTCCTCTTCCTGCGGCCGCCAGTGGTCAGCCCACATCAGGTACCACAATACAGCTATGGCTATGTATTGGTGTACCTCGCAGGCCTCGGCAACTAAAGCCAAGCAGTACTGTGCGCTGAATGGCCTTAAGCCCTTAGCTAGATTAGAACCATACCAAGGTATTCAACCTCAACAGCAAAGCAAAATGATAAATCTTCGATAAAATTTATTGCCTCCCTTTTTTATTTTCACCCTATGTAACATGGTGGAATAGACACTATCACAATGTTACACAAACAAGGTATTCCATGTCCTTTTTCTCTAAGTACCTTTTAAATCTAATCATGATCACGACTTATACCATATCACTGGCCAGACCTCAATCACCAGTATAATTGTAACCTCTCCGCTAGACCCAGCTTTCTAACCACTACTCGGCTTGGAGATACTTCAGTGGAGTAATAAATAAACCACATAACCTATAGTATGTATAATGATCGATTGGAGCGGACAGGGGAGGAGTCTGGGGATAACTCTAACTTAAAAGAAAAGGACAAAAGGGGGTAGAAAAGGGGGTAGAAAAGGGGGTGAGGAGGAGAGTAGCGCGTACCTCATACTCCGCGAACCAGTTATCGAACTTCATGTAGTGCACCCCTTACTTGAAAGTCTTTCAAGTGTGGTATGTGCGGTGCCTAAGCATTGTTACAGAACTTGATCAATATAATGAGGCATGTTTGGATGGCTACTTTATGTTGGTTGGTTTATGTAAGGGACATATCGGGGTTTCCGGTGGTACTATCTAGTTATTCAGTAAAAGTCGTTGGTATTTTGTATATAATACGTGAGGGTTAAAACATCTCTTCTTCTTGAGACTTGCTACATAGTATCAGCTCTCTATATAATCCACACCTAAGGTGACGGGAAATTGAGTGAGAACCATGTCCCATAGTTTTGCCTCAAATATTGTGTAGCTCTATTACACAGGTCCCCATCCTCGCATTCTATGCCCCGATAGACTGAAGCTCGGGGCTCCGAGTATGGTCTATCGGAGTCACCCCTTGCTTGCCTCCGCCAGTTCGAGACGTAGCCCCTTATTATCAGAGAATTGGGCGTGAGATTTTAGTAAGTGTTCACAAGCATAGTAATTTTGTTTACTCCTTGCCGCGCTGCCATCGCAAACAAAGTCCATTTTATGTCTCCAATCTTGGCTTAGGAAGTTGGTTTATTGCAAAGATGGCAAGGAATATGAACCGTTTCCTGGCACTTCAAAGCAATATTGATTTCTGAACACACATCTCATTCAAAATCCTCCCATTGATCATAGACTGTTGAAAGCGATGCTCTGACCTATAAAAAAACCATACTTACACAACCGGTCGATGGTCTATCGTCAACAACACTTGCCACGCTAGCGTGGAAACTAAATATAACGGGTTCCTCCAGAACCTTAAAGACCTGCGTCTTGCCATGGTCTAAGCCAGGATATAAAGTAAATTACACAAAACCCCGTTTAATGCAAATTGGCAAGATGACCGAGCGGTCTAAGGTGTTCGATTCAAGACGTTAGTCTTCCTGTACCTCAATACAGGCATATTATAACTCGAATCTCGAAAGAGGCGTGGGTTCAAATCCCACTCTTGTCACATTCCTTTCTTTTTTTTACACCTGAATTAAAATGATATGCAACAACCCATGCAAATTAGGTATGTTATGTATGTATGTGTGAATATCGTTCGTTGCTAGATGACTTGTTAGTCGGTCGGTACTCTAAATGCAGGTAGGTTACCTACCTAGTCGGTGCTATACGTATAGTGTTATCCACTCATTTAGAATTTATTGCGATTAAGGGCGAAAGTAACTACATGTATGGTACTATTTAAGGGAGGATATATGTTGTGGCTTGAATGTAAATTCACGCCTATTTATATTTATATCCCTAGTCATTTTTCACATGTTTCTAGGGTAGCCACTATGAAAGCTCAAGATGCATGGGGTTGTGGGTAAATGCGTCCAGTTGGATGCCGACAAACGCTTGTGTGAGGTATGTTATACAATGCAAATGTACCAAAGCTTAATTGTTGTCTTAGTTACGACCACTTTCTTCCTCTCGTATGGCTCATGTTGAGTGTATACATCTAACCACTCAATCAAGTCCTAGATCCTGACTCTCGATATCGTCCTCCCACTAAACTATTTGACAGACTCCCGGATTGGTTCGCCAGCCAATGCATTGGCTGTGTTCACCACAACAGACGGAGTTGGGGCCATAACATGGGCTTCCAACCAGGATGCATCGTTTCTGATCAGTTGAAAATGAGAATTAGTATAAAATAGGCCATGGTTTGTTGATAATGAGCATACACACCTCGATGCCATGGTTTGGAGCGAGTGCTTCTGGGACAGCCAGAGATGTGGTAATGCCAGAGAAGAGGCCGAAGACAACAAATGATAGGAGCTGCATGATGGAGTGAGGTTTGTACGTAGTAGTAATGGTGGTTCTGGTTATCTCAGAGAGAGAGCACAATATTGTTGGTATGCAGAGAAGAGTTGGTTGGTCTGTTGATTCTGAGCAGTTGTATTGCTATGGGGGAGAGGTAAACAAAATAGGGCAGAATAGTTACGAGTGCTCTATGAAGCCTTATATATAGGAAGAAGTAGGTAGGTATGTAGAATAACAGGGTTGTTTGTGACTCGGGATGAATGGAAAGAACGCTCTCAAGGTAAGTAAAGAACCCTGGATTGTTCCTCTATGCACCAACATACATTCAAGAAGTTTACTCTAATTTTACCATCTACGTCAGGGGTAAAGCTTGAAGTTAATTGGCAAGTATCTAGGTATTTATTGAATTAAAATTTAGGAATCTAATATATTTTATCCCTTATATCATAGCTTCGTAGGGGTACTCATCCGCTCATACTAATAAAGGGTTGATGTCATTCACTCATTTGATTATTTGCCATTGTGGGTGATAACATTAGAAGTTAGTGGCCCTACAATACATCAAGACACATAGCACTGCAAATGTGGCCTTTATACCACATTCATCCGATATATTCACCCAGATGGATAGATAAACCTCTGGTGGTGGTATCGAATCCAAACAGCGAGCTCATCATGGTAATGTCGAACAAGGGTAAGTGCCCCTCGCATCCATAGGGATTATTGTAAGATTATCAAAAAGCTCCATCTTGTGCTTTCTTTGATACCTCTATCTATGTAGTAGTAACCTAGTAAAAATATAATTTGTGTCACCTTTCTTATGATGGCATTCGCTCTTTTTCTTAGTCGACTGGATACTTCCCCTTTCCTGATCTCCCCTTTTCTAAAGGTAGGTACCTAGTGTTACCTTGTGAGGGGTAGGTCATGAACAAGTAGAAAACTATCGTTATTACTATATGGTAAGAATTCAATATTACCAGCTCATTTTGGGCAGTAAAGTTGGGCTAGGCATTTATCTTGGAATGTGCTTCTCTCAATGTCACATTAAATCTGCTACAATCACAACGACTACCCAGTAATTAGTTGAACGATACCATTATTATATGTATCTAATTAGAAGCGACCAGTGATTATTTCGGCAAATAGTATGAGTTATGGAAAGTTGACAAGCAGCGGATAATTTGTTGATAGACCAGCTCTTGAACTCGTGGTAAAGTGAGTATATACTATACTCTAGAGTTGGCCAATTGACGTCTAAAGTCTAATTACCTAATGCCCAAACCTTCACTATTATCAGTCTTAGATGAGTTCTTTGCTAATTTGTGCACTGACTAGACACTAAAGAACTTGAAACTTCATGTTAGTATTAGTTTCTGGAACTAAAGAAGCGCTATGTGGGCTGAAAAGTCGCATATACTAACTATATATCTGCAGTTAAGACGGCGCTGTTCAACAAGCGCAAGAAAGTCTTCGTGGCTCAGTTGGTTAGAGCGTTGGTCTCATATGAAAATGACTCAATTTCAAGTTGGGATATCCAAAGGTCGTGAGTTCGAGCCTCACCGAGGACAGTCGCTTTCTTTTTGGACTCTATATCTAGCTGGTCAACCTGGACTATAGCTAGATTCAGGCTTCAAGCTAATCTTATCTCATTTATTTTTTTGTTAGGTCAACTTTAGATACATACTTAACTTTGTATTATCTTAATAGGTCTGTGTGTGTCGGTAACAAAAAGAGCTTTCTTAATTTGACCAATCAGATCAATAGAGCGAAGGTTCAAGTAAAGCTAGCTGTATAAGTCCAAATTAGACCTCTAGCATCCGTACCTGCAGATATAGTCTATGAGAGGTACCGAAACAGGGGATAGATCACCGCTTACTATTGAAATCCAGTAAAGAAAGCATAAATCATGGAAGATATATCCTCAGCGTAGTTGATGCTGTTTGTCTCATCCAGTTCCCATTCCCCACCCAGCCGAGAACTAGGTAGGTAGCCACCAAGATAGGTTACGTAGTACATACCTGGTTTTGTGTAGTATAACATATCAACAATTAATAAAGATATCGCTTTACGCTAGTTACATATGAGTCTCTCGACCTGGAGGGTCTAGATCAAATCTTTGGGCTGGATGATCTGCCTTGCTAGCCGTGCTGAAAGCCGTAGGTAGTACTCTCATTGGAAGAAATACGAAAGCTACCAATACATCACAAACTCTGCCACTAAAAATCAAGAACTATCTATCCTTTTTGAAGTGAAGCTTGCCATTTTATGGATTTATTACACGTCGTTTTACGATTTGCGTAGTGAGTGCCAGATCAGACGGGTTGGAGGCTTTATGTCTAACGTAGAAAGCACCTATCACGATTTCTGTCTAGGAACATCGCCTCACTTCTAATCGGTTCAGTCGCCCCGACTTCGATCATACACATCATATTGATCAGCTGTATGAAAAACTCACAGCTTCAGTTAGTCTAGTTCCTTGTGCCTTTTAAATGATACTGCGGTCATCTGTACCCGCGGCCGCACTACATCACAACCAAGATCTAAAATGTTGTCAGCGATTGTACCCCTCTTGCAACAGGAAACGGTAACTTATACCAGGCATAGAGGCAATGACGCACTTATGAATAGCTTCAACATAAATATCTGCAGTGGAGATTCTGGTGGGCTTTAATTTGGCTTGATGAAGGTCATTAGCCTTGCTAAAGATTAGATATGGTATAGCTCAGTTCGCAGGAGAAGTTACATGGTCTATTATAATTGGTATCGATTTCTATCACCTCCTCGATTTCAATTCGAAACTCATGACATGTCATTAAAAATATGCTCATATATCTCATTAACATGGTCTTATAGCTATAGACGTCCTTGCGAATTACTTGATCGATATTTTCAAGATCCACTAAAACTAACGCTACGAAGGCACACGGCATCTTCTGTGGCTACCTGACAAGTAGTACTTCCATTCCGAGATGGCCGGCTGAAAAGCTGTGTTATCTGAGTGATTCTATGTCTCGGCATCGACGACGATCTAGAGTACGTAGTATATCAGGCGGGGGATCTTCAGTTGTCGTACTGTAAAAAGGGGGTGGGCTGGGAGTATCAAGAATATAAAAGGGTGCGATGATAACCTATCTCTAAGGCATAATAGAAACGTCAGACTACTTGGTTTCTTAAACATATTTCATCTTTTTGAACAAAGTACACGATCTCAACATGTCAGACTATACCCTCTTGATCAAAATCGACCCCGACCATGTCCAGCAATTCAATTCCAAGGGTTATAAGCTTTGCGTAGCCAGTGGTGTCGAATCGGGCGGAGCGGTGAACTACAATGTCGTTGGTCATTCGAGCAGTAAGTTAAAAAATCATTATAATGGCATTTTCACCTGCTAACAGCTCTTAAGTCTGTGCCGCCAATGTGAATGTTACGTGGAATGACCAATACTCTATCGCGGCGACCCACGATGCTTTCTCCGGAGGCAGTGAGTGTGATCCAAGACCGGCTTATTTAATTGCATGCTGACCTTCATACCTTCTATTTCAGAGAGATTTGACATAGCTACAACCCCACAGGACATCGGGTTTCAATACTCATACACTCTCCCCAAAGACTGGACGGATGTGCCTCCGAAACGAGACGAGGATGCACCTGAGGCTGGCTTCCTCTTTATCAACCACACACCTGCAGCCTCTGCCGTTGTCTACAAGAAAATCAACGGCAAATTCAACCCCATCTACATCAGCGCTGCTGGTCCGCTACCGCCTGGCCGTGAGGCCCTCCTTCCCAAGGCCAGTGTCGCTGTGTGGTTCCAGGTCGCCTATGAGACCGGTACGATGGTGTCTCACTTCGATACTAGCAAGATCGTTGTTGACTTCACTGGCAAGAAGTCTCACACAGTCCAATATGATGTGAATGGGGAATGGACTATTCTTAGCTAGGGAAAAAGGTCCATATGATCATCAAAAGGAACTATCAGATGGATGAGGGCAAGAGGGGAGAGAGTCGTCACTACATGGCAGTGACGGTCTCAAGCAATCATTCTCTGAAGTGCCCGAAAGACGCTCCATCTTATAGTTGATTCCGATTCTTTCAAATTAGATACATTATTCATAGCATCCTCATGTAGGTGATGCAAGAAACCAATACACACTCTTTTTCTATCGTACTCGTACAACAAGCCTTGATATGAACATGTGAAGTTG